GGTGCAGGCAATTGTGAGGAAACCACAGCAGTAATTGTGGAGGGCTGGAAGGTCTCCTCTTTGAGGAGGGATCAAATGAGCTAAATGTGTAGGTCATCTAAGCAGTTGATAGAAGTAGACCACCACAAGATGAGCAACTGAAAGACTGGGACTGTCCATGTGACAAATAGGCAGGACGTCCAGAGGAGGTGAATTTGGGTATTAGTGTTCTGGCCTCAGAACAGTGGAACATGCAAAGAAACTGGAAGGCAGCTTATTTAAAATGTGTGATACATCACCTTTTCCATGATTTGCCCACTGATCTCATTGCTATAAAATTTATTCAAAGTCAGAAGATTCCCAGGACTGAAAAATAGCTGAGATAGCTGTCTGGATGAAAAGGACGGCCAGTGGTACCTTAGTTTAGAAGAAATCTCAGAGAAGATAGGGGGTGTGCTGGGGAAGTTAATCAAGCGTGTAGGTGTTTGCAGGCTTGAGGCCTCTCCTGTGCATCAGTGCGTAAGTTAATCCACCACCGTGGGGACTGAGCCAAGCTGCCTGCTCAGCCTGTTTTTTGGATTTGCCTCACCTCACTGCCCCTTTCCAACTCTGGACTGGGCCCACCCTTTTCTGTCTTGGCTTGGCCATTTTCCTCAATCAGACCTCAGCCTGAACATTTTGGGAAATGCAGCATCAGTCATAGCGCTGTCCCTGGGGAGGTGGGAAATCCTTTCCACAGTAGATGGATGTCCTGCCTGGCTTAATTCCATCACGTCAGGAACTAGAGGCTGCCTGTCTCTGCCCACCCTCCGGCTGATCTTGAAGAGATCTGTTTTATTCTAGTGCTTGTTCCTTTGCATATTCCTGCGTGTGAATCTGCCAGCAGTGTTTGTGAACAGTGCAACCCTTTGCGCTGTGCCAGGTTTGGGAAGGGCAGCACAGGCCGTCTGTCACTTCAGTCTCTTTTCAGTCTATTGCATCATCTAAGATGCAGTACTCAGATCTGCAACTATACTAGCTTGTTGGCTGCTTCTTAGAATATGAAAATTGTTACAGTTTTCCCTTTAGCTTTTAATTTTTAATACATTTTGAAAACCTATGATTGGAAGACTTAAGTTACTTTAAAGGAAACCATCTAGGAGCACTCGGGGCAGTTTGGCCACTATCCTGTCCCAAACAGTGGTCGGTGGCATGGTGAGGTGAAGAGCTAGAAGGAATCCAGCAGGAGTACTTGCCTCAGTGTACACTCACGGCGCCTGTCCATCTGCAGCCCTCAAAGGGCTGGTGAGGACACTTGCGTGCCATGGGGAGGTTCCTGCGAGCTTATTGTGGTCTTGGGAGTGTGACACCAGGTAGGGTACGTTGACCCTGGCGCGCGCAGAGGGACAGCACACTTCCATGGGCTCAGTTACAGCGTCTTTGAGTGGCTGCTCTGTTGGGCTGAACAGCTAACCAGAGCAGTACTCGCTGCAGAGCGGGGCATGTGTCAGATTGAAGATGCTGATTCCTCATCAGCCAATTCCCTCTACATTTGGCGTGGCTTTTCTCAAAATGCACCGGGTCCCTGTGGGATGAGGTTGGTTCTGTAGAAGTGGAAACGATTATTATCATGTTGTTGTATTTACTCGGAGAGGATGTGCAGCAGTTGTCAGACAGCACTATGTTCCTAATTGGGAATTCAACTTCCAGCTGGTAGATTGAGACTGAAAGGGAGAGCTGTGGGATAGAGACAGGCAGACACAAAATGCTGAGGCTCCTAATCTTTTACAATATGTTTGTTTAATACAAAGTGGTCTGCTGAGATTGTTTTGCAGTGTAGAATAATCATTGTGTGCTGACTAATGGGAGACAGCAAGCTGTTAAAGAGCATGAATTAACCATACAGGAGGAGGTTACTGAGTATCTTCACAAGCATTCAGGATGTGAAGAGTAAAGAGTATTACTTGAAGGTAACCCTTAGAGAATTTTTAGTTGAAACCTACAAACCGCAACAAGAGTGTTTGTGGACATACATATGGTTGCAGAGCTTACCAGGAAGAACAGTGCAAAAAAGAACTTGAGCTAGCTTAACAACTCCAGATTGTGCTGATACAAAATAAATAGTGCTTTGCTAAACTTGTTCTCTTATTTCATATTCAATATTTTGAAATTTTCCCTGTTAAATTTATCTAATATTGTCCCAGGAAATACTGCCCCTCTTTACAGAAGATAACATGTGCAGTGCCCTTCTGATACTTGGATGTCAGAACTTTATTATACTTCTGCTTCCCTGACTGCTTGTGTAAGGCTGTTGTCCTTGTCCTTCCAGCTGCTCCTGCTTCAGTATAGTAATTCCTATTCCTGCTATTGCTATGAGTTAGAACTCAGTGCACTTAGTGCTGAGAGGAGCATGCTATTCCATCATGTGCCTTGCACAACAGATAATAAAAGTTTCCAATTTTGGCCAGTGGAGAGTGTGAAAACCTATGTTTCATTAGGAATTCTTTTATACAGTGCTACTAGTATTCTGCCTGAGTTTAATGCAAAAAATAAATAACATTTTGTGGGCTCTGTTTGCTGAGTGATTTTGTTCTTTATAAGTAACAGGAAATTTTTCCCCTCCTGGATTCCAGTGTTAAATCCACTTTGTGCAAACATTGTTTTCCATTTATTCATTGGCAGTGGGGAGACAAGATAACATTGAATTTTTTTTCAGTTTTGTTCTTCTAAAGTGGTGTTAGAGAATTGGACCTCTGATATTCTTTTAGCCAACAGCAAGAGATGCCCTGGGATTCCTTGGGGATTATGATAGAGGGACCTTTGGTTCTTGGACAAGGGCAAAGACAGACTTCTCTCAGCTTCAACTTTCTATTCAAATGCCTTAATCAACAGAGGTCTCCCTTAACAGGTGGTTCTGCATCGATAAAGCCTTGAACAAGTTAGGGAAGAATTCAAAGAAATTTACTCCTTTGCTGATTTGATCGATTTTTCTTAATCTTTTTTGAGCGGGGGTGGGGTGGGGAGGAGAATGATGCATCAGAAGACTATGGAGAGGATTAATTACTTGGCTGCAAAACTCATGAAGATACTCTGATGAAAGAAGTAGGATAAGTGAGCGAAGCCCTGGTGAAGTTGGTGACAGTGGGGAAATTTAACTGTGACTGCAGCCCTCAAGCCTGCAGTGTTTCGCACCGTAAGAGAACATAGTCTGATCCCCTGTATGTCATAAGCATCTGAGTTTGTGTCAGTACTGAAATGCTGCCTACTGATCTATGGAAAAAATCCTTTGTCTGCAGCTCTGGCAGCTTGTTTGACCCTGAGCAGTTGTAGCTTGGCAGTGGCAAAGGCAGGGGGTGGCTTTGCTACCTTCAGGCTCTTATCCTTGCAGCTAGTGCTGCTTTGAGCTCTGACCAACCTCTGGTGCTTCAGAGAGATGCCAAAATATCCCTGACTTTACAAGGAACTTGTCAAAGGCCTGATATGTGAGACACCAATATCTTAATGCAGATCTGTGGGTTTAAAACCCCAAGGGAGCTGTTCAGCTTCACCTGTGGCCAAGGAAGGGAGAGGTTGCAGAGCAGCTTCAAGGCTGGAAGCGGGTACCGTTAGCACTGAGCTTTGGTCAAAGGATTCATCCCTGAAGCAGCAATGAAGCATTTCATGGTTCATTATCCTTGCAGTAGGAGACAATGTCTTGTTCTGAAGCTGAATATCTAACTCAGGTTTTCATCCATTTGATCTTACGGCTTTGTCAGCGAAGTCTGGTCTCACCACTTTCTTTTCCACTTTCTTTTAGGATCTAAAACAAGTTATATATCTGTCTCCATGAATGGAATAGTGTGAGCTCTTGAAGTTTCCTACTATAAGGCTTGTTTTCTGGGCTGTGAGTCATTGGGTGACCTGTCTTTGAATCCTACTCTGTTTCCCTGTGTTTTTTTAAAGCATGAACTCCAGAACTGCGCACAAGTTCCAGCAGAGCTCTGGGACTTGTGCAGGTTGCAGAGGTAGCATCACTTTTCTGAAACTTTGCTGCTTTTTGGCTGAGCTGATGTGGCGGCTTGTTGCCGTAGCAGAAGCAGAAAACGCCATTGGACCAAGAACTGTTTCCCTGAAGGCCTTAGCGCAGGGTACCTCTTCTTATGGATGTTTCCACACTGACAACTATATTTTGAAATGAGTCACTGAATTGATGTTTGATCCGCTAGTAAAATTGGCATGGCAATTACCATCGTGCAAGTTCTTCAAATCAAATTGTTAGAGAACATTAAATCAAATGCTTTGCAGAAATCCCAGTATGTACAATTGCTTTTATCATCCAGACTGTGATTCTGTCACAAGAAAAGCTTTGTTTTATTGGGCCTGTCTTCAGTGAAGACACTGAAGTGTTCACCAGACACAGACACCAGCACCAACACCAAGTGCTGCCTGGTATTCATTTTGGTCTTAGTCTCTACTTTTTTGTCTCTGCTCCATTATTTTCTTTTTCCTATTTGTTATCCCATAATGAGAATTGAGAATTAAGGAATTTCTAGCTTACAGTTGTCATCCCTACTTTTTAGCATTGCCAAGTACAGAAAGCATTTGCAAACTGAATTACTGCTGTTAGTCATGAGGCAATTAATCTGTTATGACAATGTGGTGGCTTAAAGCACAATGGTGATGAAGGTCACTCTGCTGGGTCTCCCTTTTTGCTCCGTGTGTTTTGCTCTGAAGTCAAACCACCCACTCCTTGGTAAGAGGGAAGCGTGCAGAGCCTTTGTGTATTAGTCATCAGTGGAGGGGCTGGTAGACTGTGAATCTGCAAACAAATTACTACAGGCAGCTTTTTGATCACTGAGGCTGCTACCTGATAGAGAGCATGTGTTAGCGTAATTCAGTTTTCACCACCACGCACTTAGGTTTACACTCACAGTTGGCTCTCTTCTCTTTGGTACATCCTAGTGCAAACATGACATTTTGTGTTGTTTCCTGGCGGGAGGATTTTTTTCACAGAAATCTACCATACTCTCCCTGCCCCCCCCCTTTTTTTCTTGTCTCTACAGGTGAAAACAAGAGAGGAAGAACTACAGGAGTGGTTCTCTGCCACTGCTAGAAAGATACAGGAAAGTGTTGAACGAAAACTGCTAGATCTTGCATACCTTTGTGCTCCAAAAAAAAATAAAATGCATGGTTCGTGCAGACTGGTGTTCAGAAGCAAACATCCTGCCAGCAAAACAAGCTTTGGTAGGCCTGTGTGCAAGGAGGCTGTTTCAGCTGTCAGTGCCACAGAGGTGATCAGAGACCTACAGACGAGAGAGGCCAGCCTGGAGAGAGAGCTGAAGCAGCTGCAGGAAGAGTGCAGGCAGAGGCTGGATGAAATTGCAGAAGGGTTGGATGGAGTAATTTGTATCTCCCCTTGAAGAGATAAAGCTGGACTGAGAAGAGCAAAGGAATAGACTGGCTTGATCAGAGCACATTGTGCAGCTTGGTGTGGGGGAGTGTGAGGTGAGGAACCAAATGTAATTTCTAATTTTTAAGCCTGGGAATCATAACTTGTTACTGCTTTGTGACTTGCACTGGGGCCATAGCCTTGGCGGTTCTCTCTGCAGCCCCTTTATTGCTAACCTTGCCAATTAAATTCTGCAGCAGGCCTTGGTGGGAGTGTGCGTAAATCTCCCTTTTATCTTTCGGATTTCTAGTTCTTCTGCCAAGCACTGGGCTCTTTTACAGTGCTCAGCTGCTAAGCACGGCATACTTCGAGGCTGCGCATTGAAGTACTAATTGCATTCAATATTTTCCAGCAAATGGAAGAATTCATTAGTCAGAAGACTCCAGGTATTGGAGAACATATAAAGTACCAAGGCCTAGAGAGATCGGAAATGTTCAAAAAGTGTGGTGTTTTAATTCAGCTGGTTTGCATATTTGTGGCAGCTATAATGCAGTCACCATAAGGAAAAACAAATGCCTAATAATAAATAAAGCAGCACACTGATTAAATTTACTGGTGTGATGCACTTGAAGTAATTGGGTTCTCAAAGAGAACAAACTAGAAACCCATTCCACCGAGTTATGAGTCACAATGAGGTAACTTATGGATCTGCTATAGGACGTTTCCGTAAAATAGAAATACGATCTTAACTTCCAAGTTTGAGGAGTCTCCAAGCTCTGTCTCCGGAGTCTTCTTCCCCTGGAACATGCAAATGTTTTTCACTAGGCATTCGTTTCCTACCCTTTTCTGTTTTGCTTTCACCAAGGAATATTTTTATATCCTAGTTGTACACTTTCAGGAAAAAATAAATTTTTAAAAAAACAGTTTGCTTTTCATTTGTGAATTGCTATGAGCAATGGGCTTTCCTCAGTCTGGGTTTCTGTCTACTCCCCCTGCTCAGTGGTTTTGCTGATTACCAGCAGCTCTTGGCTTGCTCAGCAGCCAAATGTGAGGAACCTTTAAGGACCTCTTCCCAGGCATCAGTATGATTGCTGCTCTGCAGGGAGCCCATGTGCAGGCGGGAGTGCGTGGACAAGGCTCAGGTCTCCTGGTTTCTGCTGCACCAAGTAAACTTTAGAAGCTTCCAGACCTTGCTTACCTGCACCACCTGTGTTGGTTCTCATGCGGTTTTTGCACAAGCGAGCGGCAATGCAAATGTCAGTGGGGAGCCACATGGGGAGAGCTGGTTTGCCCTGGTTTCACCCTGTTGAATGCAGCATTGCCGGTAAGCCACGAGTATGCAAGCTCAGTTCATATGGGCCAAGTTTCAGGCAGCCTGTCCTCTGCGTGGACCTGGTGGCTTCTCCAAGGACCAAGCTTGAGCAAGGCTGGTGGGAAGTGCAGTTCTCAGCCAGACACCTCAACTCCAGTCAGCCCTACGCAGATGGGACAGCCCCCCAGGAACAGGGTGTTTGTGTGTGTTGACCAAGGCTGTCAGTCACACCCAGTGTGCCTGCTGTCAGCTGGCACCGGGGGGTGACAAACATAGTTCTGGAGCAGAAAACCCCAGTGGGCTAGTGAGAGCCATCTCTGTGGCCCCAGGCTGCTGCTCCTGGAAGAATAGCCCTGGCCTTAAAAAGCCAATCCATGTCACTCTGCTTTTCAAACCATCTCGGTAAGTGCACGGTACCAAGCACTGAACTGTTTCAAGCTGGTACAACTTGGGGAGGGTGTTGGCTCCAGGGCTGCTGAAATTCAGCACACAAGAGGACTTACTCAGACACAGGTTTCACAGAAAATTATTCATGAATGGGAAACAGTATATCCTAGAACTAACAAGAATGGCAGCACCAGTCTGTCTCTCTCCGAGCATTTTATATCCTCCTTCAGCTTTTATACAATAGAATTTTCATACTGCATCGCATTTATGTTTAAAACATTGCCCTCAAAAGATCCGTTGTTCTCCTGGGATTTTCAGCAGGGAAGGGTGGGCAAATATTCTTGAGCGTGGTGCGAGCACTCAGATTCAAGCGCAGGTCTAGCTCATGCCTTGCTGTAGCTTATCAGGGTTGGCTTAATGCTGAATGCTATGATGTGTTATGCTGCCATCCACTTAAACTGACAGTAGTCACTCATGGGATGACCGACTTCCTAGCATCAAATATTTGTCACCGTGCAGCACGTAGTGCAGTGTGCTTCAGCGTTCATCCAAGGATCCCGTTTCAGCAGAGACCACAACTGGCAGCGCCTTTCCCCTGCTTGACCCTGAAGAATAATTCTTCTCTCCGGTGAAATGTAAAAGAGATGGCCCTCAGTGTGTCTGTGTATATATATGTGTGTGTGAAGTATAAAAGTGCTTACAGTGAATTGCAGACAGCTGCATTTCCCACACGGCACAAATCACTGTACTGAGGTGGCTGTGCTATGAATGGGAAGCTGTCAGGAGAGCCAGTGGGTTGGAGCTGGAGCTGCTTGTCCTGGCGTGTACATCCAGAGGGGCTACAGCTGAAAGCAGCTTAAAAGAAGATCGCCTTTCCAGCCGTGGTGCCGCGCTGGCGTTGCGCGCTCAGACACCTCGTGTGAAGACCACAGGCAAACGTAGCTTTTATTTTCTGGCACCAATTTCCCACTCCCTTTTGTTTCGGGTACCAGTTAGCAGTTTAAACCAGAGCAGATATTCTGCATCCCCCGTTGAAGGTGAGCAGGATGTTTTGAGCTGGCAGTGTTTTTAAAACCAATACGTCTTCTCAGCACCAGCAGACAGCACAAAGCAGGAGGTACTTTAAGGGCTTGATGCTCTCACACACCAAATTTTGGAAGGTGGTTTTCTTGTGAAGGCTGCCTTTTAAAAAATCACAGCACCTCCATAGGAGTTGGACGCAAAGGGACTGAGCTGTGGTCATGCCTCGGTGACTGGTCACAGCTTTCGATTGCTTTTGAGGCATAGGGATGCATCTGAAATACAGATGCTTTCTGGTCCTCATGAGCTTGGCAAGACATCAGCTGTCTCTCCAGCACTGCTGGGAGATGCTGTGTGATGAACACTACTTAAAAGCTCAAGAAAATTATCCCTGGATTAACACCAGCTGCAATGAGGGCAGGAAAGTGAACCGGGTGACCGCAGTCACACTTAATGGGATATAACCTAGGAACAAATAGACGTTTGTCACCTCATACCATTACTGTGGCGTTTGAAGCGTTTTCCTTTCCTTGTTTAGGTTGACTTCTCTCACCCACCATCATAGCCCACTGGTTTTAAGGGCTGCGGTGACCTTCTTGGTCACCGGGCTTGGCCCCTGTCAGCAGTTGAAGATGCTGTAGAAGGGGGAATGGCTGCTCCGGGAGACGTCTGGCAACCAGCAACCAAATGACTGGCTGGTCTCTGGCAGAGGCTGTGGCAGGCAGAAGATGACTCAAGCAGTACATTTCATCCACGGGCTCAAGCGTGCTCAGTAAATGTTAAGTATTACTTCACAGAAATTGGAGAGTGTTGTAAACAACCCACTACAGACTGAAAAGCAAAGATACAAGCTGTTAAGTGGTTTGTCCTTTGCCATATCACCGCACTGGTTGTACATTTCCTTGTGAAATCAAGAACCTGCCCTAAAATTGTTGATGGAGTTGAACAGGGAAGGGTGGTTATCAGCTGGAGAAGCTGGGAGAGAGCGAGTCACATGTGCGCAGCTGGTTGCTAAACTCCAGTGGTGGGGGAAGGCTGGTGGTGATGCTGCCCTAACATCTGGACTAGGCAGCAGGGTTTGTTTTGGTTTGTTTTTTGAAGAGGCTACAACAGCAGTTGGTGCATCCTAAAGGGAGTTATTTTGGTTTGGGTTTGGATCCATGGTTTCTAAGTGATCTCAGGAAGACAGGAGCATATTGGAGGTGACGGCCCAGGCTGGAAAAGCAGGAAACCACGGTTAAATCAGCACCTGCCAGAGATGCTGCACATGGTTGCGGGGTGCACCTGACACGGGTCAGGCAGTAAAGAGCTGTTCCAGACGTTCACTTGGTGATGGCTTGCAGCAAAACCTGTCTGTAGGAAGACCCCATAGCAGCTAACCCTCCTTGTGGGGCTGGGGACACATGGCCTTTTGCTTCATGCTCTGGTAATACTTCACTGAAGACAGGCTGAGTTACTGCTGCAGTCTTTGAACCACACTCTCTGGTGATGGATTGCTTCCAAGCGTATCCTGAAGAGAAGCTTTTACAGGACTTCTGCCTGTGTAGTTTCTGGGAGGCCAGCAGGGAGGTGTTCATAGACGAGCACAGCTTAACCCATTTCTCTGATGTAACCGGTGCTTGCTTTCCAAACATCTTGCAAGGAAAATGGAATTGGGCATAAATACTTAATTGGCTGATAACTCTGGCTTGCACTGTGTAGCTGGAAATATTCCTCCCCGAATAACTGAGAACCAGTCAGCTTGCAGTCAAAACAGGAGGTTTACTTTTCAAAAGGCAAGCGAGGCATCTCCAGTCGCTGCTCCCGACAACATTGCGCCTGCCGGTAAATAAGGGCTGCAACCTATGTTTAAGAACTGCTGGGAGTAGTGATTTCCAGCATAGAGTGTTTTGGGTTCCCTGCGGGATTCCTCCACCAGCTCCTGCGGGAGGATGAGCTGGTAGCAGCTGGTGTGAGCATGTGTGTGTGGCAGCGTGGTGCGCGCTCAGTGGGAGCTAACACATGCCTGACGATCGAGCTCCCTCTCCTCTGCCCCTCAGCCACTTGCAGCAAGAGCCTGCGGTCTTTCAGCCTCACCCTTCGCCTCCTGGAGCCAGCAGCTTGCGTGTACTGTCTGCTGCTACCTGCTGCTCCTCAGCTGAGGAGCTGCCCAAGTCCTTGCGGCCAGTGTCCTGTAGCCTCCAGGCTGGGAAACTTCTCATCCTCCCAGCCCCTCTGTACCTGCCCGGTGTCCCAGCTGTGGCCAGAGTCCTGTCCTTATCCCTATCCGAGGGGTTTTGTTCCCTAGCTGCTCTGAAACGGGTGACACGGGA